AGACTCGGATTCTAGGGCTCGATCTTTCCAGAACTCTCGAGAAACCTGCAATTCTTCCATCTCCTCCCTCACTTGATTCAACATCTCCTGCATTTGAGACCATTGATCTTTTTCTGCTTTAACTTGCTCCATGATTCTTCGAATAATCGCCTTGCAATGTCCTGAGCATTGATTTTGTTCTTGTGATGTCCAGTCCTGAACGAAAACAGATCATTCATGTTAAATAGACTTGAATTCTATTCAAATTAGGTTGAAATCGATTGCCTGACTAGAGAAATTTACCTGTCTTGACATGGAAGAATCAGGATGTTCAGCTCTGATTTTCGTGGTAGCTGTAGTGGAAAGCATAGACCTACATTCCTCCCTCATCATCTCCAACAAAGTTCCATTTGACAGGTTTTCCATTTTTCTCCTCAAAACCTCCACCTGAACATTCTTCAAAGTTGAAAACAGATTAGATATGGAAAAAATTAGGATCGGTTATTAGATATTTGCGCCATTCTTACATTTAACTTTCCACTTGATACGAAGCTTTCATGATCCCTACAAGACTTGTTCTCTGTAACAATCGGTTCATCCGAATCCTCCCCAATTTTTTCCAGCTTTCTCTGTAGTAATGACGCTCGTTTGTCAAAATTACTGCACTTTCTAACCTCCATTTGTTTATCTCTCGAGCCCCTTCGCAATCTCTCGAGTTTCTGACCCAAATAGTTGATCTCTTCCTCCAACACCATCTTCATGTCCTTGCCTTCATATATCTTGTTTCTCCCCTGCATCAAACTTGGTTTTCAGAAGATGAAAAATCTGGTGCCAATATTTCTCAGAAAACTCAAATCCAACTCCAGTTAACAACAAAATCGCTTTGTAGAAGAAGTTACTAAGGATTGAGGAGCAACCAAACAGTGAAGCATGATTATTGAGGATTGAGTTCATTGATTAGTTTCTACTGTTTCAGCTCAATTTCAAATGCGGAAATCAAAAGTTCTAGTTTAGAGATTTTGAGTTCCATTCTAATTAGAAAGAAAACAGAGAACTGAAATGGAATGGAAATAGAAGACTATAATACTCACGGAAACAAGAGCTTGAACTGCTGATTTCAGAGTCCTCTCCATTCGAAGCTTCATCTTCTCCAATTTCTTATTGATAATCTCTCTCTCCATCCTCAGCAAGTTGCACTCTGCCCTCAACATCTCCGCCTGAAACCTCCACTTCTCCTCCACCGGCGCCGCACCGCCACCTCCACTCTTTCTCTCCTCCAGCAAACTAACCGGAAAGCTCTCCCTCGAAAACTCCCGTTCCTGGTCAAACAAGGCCTCCAGCTTCCCTCTCCCGTCAGACCCCAAAATAGATTTCCCCGGCGCCGGCAGGGCCTTGGACGGCCGGCGCCTCGTCCTCGGCCTCCTCGGGAAGTGGAGGATCCTCGGAGTCGGCGGCGCCGGTTGCGGGTACTGCCATTTCGGCCTTCTCGTAGCAGTCACTGTCGCCAAAGATGACATACGAACCTAAAGGCTAAAAAATCGCTCTTCGTTTTTTTCCCAATGGGTTTCGAAAATGGAAAACAAAAACCAGAGAGAGAGAAAGAGAGAGAGAAAGGAATCGAGGCGTGCAACCTCGTGAAGTGGGTAACTGGTAATAAGAGTACAGAGATTTCAAATGAAAGCTGCTGCTGTAGCTGTAATGTGTGACTGTGAGTAGTGTGTTAATGTTTTTTCCTTTTGCATGGCCTAATTTATTTCCTTGAATGGTGAGAAATGTGAGTGACACAACACAACACAAGCACCACCGGTTTTCATTAATGGACATATATATGAAGGAAAAAGGAAGAAGGATTCGGATTTTGGGCAACCAAACCAAAAACCACTAAACAATAAAGTCAGCTCAGCGCCACAGACCACGAGTTCTTTCTGCTCCAATTTAAAAACAAAAATATTTGTTTAAGCAATTCAATGCACAACGGTCAAATCCTTAAACCCAAACTCAAAACACACCCACACTAACTAATTTGTTTAAACATACTTGCCCTACTTTATTTGCCATTCTTCTAGCATTAACTTTTTTAAATGTTGGGTTTGGTTTGAAGTTGTATTTAATTAGGGTTTAGAAATTAACTGTATTTGGAAGCTTGACATCTAGCTACTATATGTTATATAGACATCTATCAATTAAATAAGTGGACTACGGATGTTTCTTTAGGCTGATTAGGTATTTTTAAAGTTTTTACATCTTTCATAGAAAGTGAGTAAATTTGGAAGAAACTCGACACTTGCTCTACTTGTTTGTGTAGACATTTAGTCCGTTTGGTAACGTTATGTTTCATTGCTTCTAATGAAGAAAAATGTATTGTATAGTTTCAACCTCTAAGAATTAAAGTATGATAAAATAAATTTTTTATTTATTATTTATGTTGGAAATAGGAACAAAAAAAAGAAACTTGCTTTGGTTGTTTCAAAAATTTGTATAGAATTGTGAAAATGTTAAAAAAAAGGAGAGAAACAAGAAACAAAGTTAATTCTAAAATGCATAGATTTGTTAAGAAAATTGGAAACGAGAAACAAGAAACAGTAATGTTACCAAATGGTCCCTTATTAATCAAATAAATATTGAACAAAGATGTATATGTATCAATTTTCTAGTTCATTAAAACTAACTAATTATTATAACTAAAATAATTTTGGTTAGATTATAAGTGTTCTCTATACTTTTGTGGTTGTGTACAATAAGTTTTTAATCTTTCAATATTGTGTTCGATAAGTTCTTAAATTTTAAAAAGCGGCTAATAATTTTTTTAACTTAGATATTTGTGTTTATTAAGTACTTAAACTTATAATTTTAAATTAGGCAAAATTGTGGATCAAGGTTGTAATTTAAGATTTTTTTTTTGTTACAAAGTTGATAAAATAAAGGTTTAGTTACTATTTTTGTGTTTTTGGCTTTGTTTCAAGTAACTATTTTGGTATTTTTATTTTTATCTCACTTCTTTTTATCACATATTTAGTATGACGCTTTGATCACTAATTTTTTAAAACGTAGCTATAAATTTGTATTAAAATGATTTTTAATATGTATAAAATTTGTGTTAAATTTTACAAATAGGAACATTTGTGTTAAATTTTAACCATAGGAACTAAAATGTCAATTTTCAAAAAATACAACGAAAAAATGCACATTTTGGAAGTAAAACGATTAAAAAAAATCGAGGTTGAAAATAGACTAAAATAAATATTTTGATAGTGTGTAGATGGAAAAATAACAACAACAAAAAAATAATAATACAGGACATAAGTAGTATTTAAATCTAAAATAAAGTAAAATATATAAACGTTTAGGGAAAAAGAATAGAATTCAAAAAAAGACAAGGTAAATATTTTAATGTTAAGGAAACGACAGTCACAGATAACAAGGTGTATGTGTCAGCCAAATTTCATATAAATATATATGATTGGTGGCCTATTTTACCAATAAAAATATTTGTATTTTGTACGTGCCGTTTAAGGGAATTGTTGGTTTGGTCGGGTGGCTTGGATTTTTTTTTTAAATTATATATTTTTTAATTTTTAATGTGATTCCTTTTATTATGGGGTTCAAACTTTCCACTGACAAATAACAAATGACAATATCTTCATTCTTCTTGACAGAGAGTGAGACATTATTAGATTTTAGAATTATACACTTAATTATTTAAGTTTAGATTAAGTATTGCTAGGATTCTGCCTCAAAAGAAAAAAAAAATTGTTAAGATTAATAAATTAAAGCAGAACCTTCTAAACAAAAAAAGTTAAAACAGTAACTACATAAATAAAATTTTCAATTGGTTTTTAACTTCCATTTGTTATTTTTATAAAATTGTACGTGGCTTAATTTAATATTGAATTCTGCAATTTGGTCACGCAGTTTCATGAATTTTTACCGTTGTAAATGTACCACACCCTCCTTCAAAATAATAAAATCACTATATAATAAACTTTGTTAATTTAATTAAATCTAAATCTCAACTCCATCTTCTCCAGCCTATTTCTTCAGCATCAAGTTGTTATTTGAGAAATGTGTAGAAAAACTGGTTTGTAATATTTTAAAACAAAGTTGCACTTTTTAAAATTCAAAATGCTCCGATAGACATATTTTTCTATATTTTTGTTTTTTTAGTATAACATGTAAGGTGGGAGATTGAATTTACAACCTCTTGATTGAAAATATTTATCAATTATCATTGAATTATGCTAGCGTTGACATATTTCTCTATCATAAATATTTGTAACGAAAAATTTGTAATAATAACACAAACACCTATGTTGAAATGGGAACAATTTCATTAAAAAAAATAAATTACACATAATATCATAGTAAGGGTAGCAATTGGGAAACACCCTACATCTTTTACAAAAATTAGAATTATTGGCATTTAAAATTACAAAATTCATATCGAAACCGAAACTAAAATCATAATTCAACAAATATATTAAATACCAAAGCGAGCATAATTCAACGGTAATTGACATATGTCTCAAACCAAGAAGTTGTGAATTCGATCTTCCACCCCACATATCATACTAAAAAAATAATATTAAATTAATGTCTGGCATTTGAATATTTTTGTCAACATTTTCATGTGTCAATGAGTTCAACATAAGGCATGAGAAGTAAATTGACATCTTGATGAGAACATATTATTAGAAATACAAATTTTAAAAATATTTATTAATTTAATTAATTTGGATGAATGGATTGATTTTCATAATTTTTTAACAATATCCATGAGTATCGATATTTTCATGATAAAATTGAGACATCGACGTGGTATCGATATTTCAAATGTTGAGTAGAACCAATAATTCTTGAACATTCAAAATAAGAACAAGAAAATTTTGAAAAAATGGGAAAGAATAATTGAAGGAAAGACTGTAAAAGAAAAAAAAGAAAAATAGTGCAATGGGCAGAGAAGTTGAGAAGAGCGCACCAAATGAAGAAACTCACACGAATGATGTGACCGTTCTGACCCTAACTATCACTCTTAGTTACCGCACATGATTATTTCCCAAATCTCTTAGCCAAAATTTCTCTCTTTTCTCTTTCCTAATAAACAATAATATATTTATTCCAGAAAAAATAAATACGTAGTTTAAATCAAAATTTTAAAAATCATGTTGAAATCTCAATTCGATGGATATTTATAAAAATATTATAAAAAACAAAAGTGTAATATATATTTAAATTAACAAAAAAAAAATCATATTTTTCAAATAAATTTTAAATTATTAATATTAATATTACGTCTAAGTGATATTATGTCAATTTTTTTGGAACATTTTAAAATGTCGATTAATTATTTATATTGAATCTATGAATATATAAAAAGATGGACGAAATGCGGACATGTAAATTGAAATTTAATACCCTATTTAAATTTCTTTTTTTTTTTTGAAGCAATACCTTGATAAAAACCAAATTTCATTTTATCCATATTTCATATTATTTCTGCCTACAAGTACAACCAAAAATAGCTATCATCCAACTCTTTTTGTCTTAGTCCTCAGAATTTAAACTATACTATTCTTTTTCAAAAGAAAAAAAAGGAAAAGAAACTTGAGATGAAGGCTCGAACACAGGTTTTGGTTGAAGATGCGGGAGACTTGAACCACTGGAGCAATGATGAATATCTTAACAATTTATGCATTTGTATATTATTACTCTACATTATTAAAAGTTCGGGGGGCTCTCAGCCCTTCGTACACCCGCCCCTGGTTTCTTGTTTCCCATTTTAAAAAACGTTTTTATGCGTATAAATTTTGGAAATAACATAATGAAGTTTGTTTTCTAAAATTAAGTTTGTTGTATGTTGTATTTCAAGGGCACTGCTAACAGAATTTCCAATGTTTCTATTATTTTTTTTAATTTTAATTTTTGTTTTGATGCATTCAAAATTGAAAAAGAAAATAAACGAAAAAAGAAATAAATAAAATAAAATAACGACATGTATTTACAAAAATGCCCCTTGAAAAATATTAAAATAAGGTGGACAACTGGTGAGTGAGTCGAGGGCTGCATGAAACGTGGTTGGTTAGTTGGGCGTGGGGCCCAAGTCCAGTGGCCCGTGGGCCGAAGCCCAAAAGAGTCCGATTAAAGGCCCAATCTATTTTCCAAACTTTCAAATTTTGAAAATGTCGCCCTGGTTATCGGCATGGTAAAAGACGACACTCTGCTATACCTATACCACACAGATACTCAGGTTTACGGTCCAAGTACAGTACCATTTTTTTTTAATTCTAAATATTATATTTTAACAATATAATACTGTTAAGGGGTCAAGAGGACCCCGGGCCAGAAACGTGTATCCATGCCTCAAATCAGACACGACGAGGACGAGCAGTGGCCCACGTGTCCAGAAGCATAGCTCAACTCGACTCCGACATGAGGAAGTTTGATTGGCATTAAATCCGCCAATTCTACTAGTAACGAATCTTTTGATTATCGGCAGAAGCTACTGCTAAATGATAGGTACAACCATCGTGATGAGAGAACCATACTTCCTAATACTTTTAGTATAAAAGGCGGAGTTTCACGTTCTAAAAGATACAGAATCTCTTACATTTACATCAAGCTAGAATTAAGTACTAACTTAATTTTCTAAGTATACGTGGTTGAGCACCACATCGATGCAAGGTTTTGTTTGTTGGTTCCTAGCTAAACTTATATACGAGTTCATATCAAATCGCCGGTTGACATGTCATGCAAACTAGAATCACGCAATAATCCAGTAAAAAATTAATCATCCTCGTACTTTCCCTTTTTATATTTTTCCAATAATTTAGATATTTCTTTCATATAAATTTAGTGAAATGAAATTAAGGACGACAACGTATAATTGACTATATCATAAATACTGCTTAGGTTGGTTTTGGTTTAATAAAGACTAATAATAGAAGATACCATCAACTACTTGAAACTCAAATGGCCAACATAAACTTATCTTAGTGGTTTCATTTGCTCATTTCATCGAAGTTGGAGGTTCAATCCCCCATCCTCATATCTGTTGTACTAAAAAAACTTGAAACTTAAATCAAACTTATCTAAACAATTTGATAACTCAACCTCATTCTAACTTTTGATAGTCTATAATAAGATTGAGAATGAGATTGATGAAATAGTAAGAGAAGAATGAGATTACACCATTTTAAAGGAAGTGATTATTACAAAGTTTGAGATGTGAGAGATTCGAACTCATGACTTCTTGGTCATGATGCCTTAGTTCAAGTTGTTATCTATGATTTAGTTAAGCTTTATAAATAATCCTTAAATTATTTTTCACCTACTTGAAAACTCACATTTTCTCTTGTTTTACTCAGTTATAAACCCTAATACAATTAGCGAATTCAATTACACTAGCTAAAAAATATGTCACACATTCAACATGGTAATATCTATAATAGTAAAGATAATTTGTAAAATTTGACGAAACTAAGAGTCAAACGGATGAAATTGGTATTGAATCCAATCCAAACCTTTATTCTCATTCAATTATGTGGTTGACTGGAAACCAAATTTCATTTTTGAAAGTAGTAGGGTATTTTATAGAGATAAAGGAAAAAGACACGTGGCAAAGAACTAGTGGTTAGAATATCTGTTTTGGATAAGGAAATGGATGATGGAAAGAACATGAACCTTGAACGAATTGGGCACTCTCCCACTCCCAAACATTACCACTATATCCTTCTTCTCCCACTCTCTCTTCTCTCTCAACACAAATCCAATTTCTCCAAATCCCCAAAAATGGCGTCCACCGCAATCGCAGCCTCCTTCCTCCCCCTCACCGCCAAGCATCCCTCCGCCGCTACCCGGAGAGCCCTAATCGTGGCCAAGGCCTCCGCCGCCGCGAACGACGCGTCCAAGCCCAACTTGGAGATGAATAGGAGTGTGCAGGTGGAGAGCTGGCAGGGGCGGCGGGAGTTGGTGGCGGCCGCCGTGACGGTGGCTGCGGCCACCTTGGCCAAGGCAGCGATGGCGGACGAGCCGAAGCGCGGCAGCGCAGAAGCGAAACAGAAGTATGCTCCGGTGTGCGTCACAATGCCCACTGCGCGCATCTGTCGCAACTGATCGAGAGAGATGTTTTTCTGCTGTGTCTTCTACTTCTTCTTCTCCATTAAAACCATTTCGTTTGGTTTCAGTGTTTGATTGTAAAATCTGTAAAAGAAAGCAATGAATTGCCATGAACCTCTTGATGTCTTTCTCTACTTTTTCTTCCTCGAACTCAAAGTTTTTGAAGTATTCAAACTGCATACATACAATCTAAAAATTGAGGAGTTGTTACAAACTTTTTGGAAGCTTAAATGGACAAAATTTTGGTAGTTCATAGGCCAAACTTATAATTACCAATGCAATCTAATAATCAGATTAGATTTGGTTTTCCAGAATTTTACTATGGATTGCTTGTTTAGTTTCACTTTCAGTCTGGTGGAGGTTTACAAAAGGAATTAAGGACCCAAATGACTCATCTTTAAGCACATTGAAGATCAAGATTAAAAATGTTAAATTAAAAAAGTGAATAATCTGGAATGCATGCGTATCATCATCAAAGTTCATACATTTATCTGTACATCTATGAATGGATTTTTTTGGTGGTCTTTTGTCTGTTATACTATATACATCAAGCATTTGAACTATTAATTAAAGCCATGTCTGCAGAAAATAATGAAAGAAAAACTTTTTCTCCCTCTCTAAAAGAATATGAATGTGGAGGAGTCAATAATGGAGGTTGGAATTGGCAAGAAGATCCCACAAAGTGTTAACTCTACTTCAGCAAATGGAAGGGCAAAATGGTAAGTTCACAACAGCTCTACCTTAAAAAACAAGCAAAGCTCTAATAATAGAGTGATTTGGGAGGAAGAATATGTTCACAGTTCACACACTTGGGACCTCGATGATCCTCCAATGGTTTCACTGGGAATATATTTTAATAGATTATAGTATTAATAAATAATCACAAATGAATTGCAGAAAACCCAATATAAATATAAATATAAATATAAAAATATATATATATTCCAAATTTTTGCATTCTTCAAATATCATTTGATTCATTTCATCTTTCAGACGGTTCATCTTCATCTACCTTAACTAGTATGTTTCAATGACCCTTCTCTGAACAACTTCAAGCTAAGGCTGTTGAATCTTTCCCGTGAATATTGTCTCGACGCTTTTCTCCAATCGGTGCCCGCCTTCATCATGACTGCAAACTCTTCATAGCTTATGCGTCCGTCCTATACAAGGAGAATAAAAGGGTTGGAAGAACTGGCCTAAAAGTTTCCACATCTATAAGATCTATGGAGCTGAACAACTTTCAGATGTTCGCCAAACAGGAACTATAATTTTAGGAATGCCACTGGGAGTGTTTGTTTATTAAGATAGCAAGTCCATATTAGTAATTAGCCAAGGAACATGTTATAAGTAGAGGAGGATCTAAGTACCTCGACTACTTGGGAAGTCGCTGTCCTCTAGTTATGGTTTCTATCATAGAATTACGAAGCGTTCTAAAAACTGGATCGCGATGCTAACCTTATCCGTGTCGACATCATGCATAATGGCAATGATGACATCCTCGCTGTTTGTTTCTTCTTCATCATTTAGCACAGCTCGAAGCTCTTCGATCTCAATGTAACCACTCTGATCTTGATCAAAGAATGAAAAAGCTTTATGTAGATGCTCGTCGTTGGCCATCCTTTTAAGGTGGATTGAAATCGCAACAAACTCTCCGTAGTTCAGGGTTCCATCGTCATGAACACCAGCCTGTAGAAAGCAAAAGTTGACTCAGTAATTGTGTCTCAAAATCTGATTACTACTCCAGAAAACAGACTGACAAGTGTTTTTTCCCTTGCTTTTCAGTTTCATTTTAGAGAATATCACCCTCTACACCTTCACTAATTGAGAAATTATACAACTCCAAGAAAGAAGGAAGATTGCAAATTCAATGTACCGCACTGAAGGATATGAAAGTAAAACAAAACGGGGAAATGTACATACTGCTTCCATAAGTATCTGAAGATCTGAGTCTGGAATCTGATGTCCAAGCTTTTGCAACCCAGTTCGTAGCTCCTCGAGATGTATCTTCCCTTTCTTCTCAACGTCCATCGTATCAAATGCCTCCTTTATGCCAGCTACTTCCTCCACTGACAAATGCTCAGCAATCACCTACGGATAATCATCAAATGGAATGTCATTTATAACTCAAGAAATCTTAAATCTAGAGAACACCCCGAATGACTTTCTTTATTACCCTCAGAGCTCGTTTCTTCAGCTTGTTCATCACAGAAAATTGCTTGAGTCTCGCTTTCACCGTCTCGCCTAGTGGAACATTAGGGGCCTTCTTAGCATTTTGTAACCATGGGTGGTCTGCACAAAGCATTATTTCAGGTACTGTTTGCAAATTCTCATATAAGAGCTAGATCTATGCTTGTGAAATCAGTGTACATAGTACCTAGAACTTCCTGAGCAGTAAGGCGCCGCTTGGGATCAGGATTAAGCATTTTCCTTACGAGGTCCTTTGCATTATCAGAGATTCTAGGCCATGGGTCTCTTCTGAAGTCAATAACCGAGCGAATAATTGCCTGTGCTACACCCTGTTCAGTTTCTACATAGAAAATTGGAATGCAACTTATGAGGAGGAAACCTGAAAAACTAATTACAAAAATTACACACCGACCGGCTAGTTGTGTGGAAGATTCTAGCCACGAGTAATAAGAACTAAAATTTAAACAAAATGGTACATGAATTCATTATTTTTTTCAAAATATGACCTTTACCGTTAAAAAGATGGTCTATTAAGACCTGAACTGACTGAATAGAGAACAAAAATTCAAACCTGCCCAAAATGGTGGGATGCCACAGAGTAAGATATAGAGGATAACCCCGGCACTCCAAACGTCTACTTCTTGACCATAATTCCTTTTCAGGACCTCTGGGGCCATGTAATAAGGACTGCCTACTATTTCGTTAAATTGTTCGCCTAATCCAATAGAAACATGAATGTTTAGTAGGACTCTTCATGACATTAGCAAATAGAAAGGTGTGGCAAGAGCAACAAAACGATAACATGAATCGCACATGTCGATTGAACACAAGCCGTAATACCTGGTTTAAAAGTGATGGACAGCCCAAAATCAATTGCCTTCAATGGGGATGATTCCTTCTTATTTGCAAAAAGAAAATTCTCAGGTTTGAGATCACGATGCATCACTCCATGTTTATGACAAACCTGTAAAGCGAAATGCAGGTAAACAGAAAAGATTGAAATATGCCAAAAGCCTTGATATTAACATTTGCTCATTTCAGATAAATTAAGACAGTTATAAGTTATAACTAAACTAAACTTACAAAAAAGATAAAAATCTTCCATGTTTAAGTTAACCGACATTTTCTTTTCACCTGAACAACTTCAACAATCGTCCGCATAACAACAGCTGCCGCACGCTCTGTGTAATGCCCCCTTGCAACAATTCGGTCAAACAACTCCCCACCCTCGCACAGTTCCATCACTATATGAACTGCCTGATCATCCTCATAAGTGTCCTTCAGTGTAACAATATTCGGATGCTTGGGCAAATGCTTCATAATTTGAACCTCCCTCCGCACATCCTCAATATCAACAGCAGTCCTAAGTTTCTTCTTCGATATTGATTTACAGGCAAACTTTTCACCAGTATTAGTATCTGTGCATAAATACGTTACTCCAAATTCACCTCTACCGAGCTCGCGACCGAGATCATAGTGAGCTGAAATGTCATGACCAGTTGGTTCTTTCAAAACCCGAAGCTTGTTACCAGCACCATTCACTTGTTTCCTGTTGTCGTCAGTTGGAGACCGATTACCTTTCTTCTTGTGCTTGCCTTTAGTCTTAGTCTTAGGCTTAGCCGAAGGAGTTCCAGGAGTAGCACAGCAATTACCCATGGTCAAGATCCAGAAATGTCGAAATGCTCAGGCCTTACAAGAAAACACATTCAGGGTCAGAAACATAGATGAAAAGTAGCAATTCATAAACGACACCAAAATACAAGTTAAGATCCAAAGATTCTTTTGTCCTCAGACGAGAAGCTGGCAAGTAAATACTCATACATATAAGGAGATAGATAACGGAGACGATGATTTCCACTAATATACATCTGGAAATTCCACAAGATATCACAATTTTCGAGAGAATAAAACAAGAATTACAAACAGAGAAAGATTTTGATTCATGTTCATAACAATCCCACGTGGTCCAGAACGATCTTTTCTATTGAGAGAGAAATGCTACCAAAACAAAACAAAACAAAACAAAACGCACCTGGAATTTTCAGTTGAAGCACGGTGACATTGGGAGGAACAGCCGGAGAAGATGGCCGGATAAGGGGAAGAATGTGGCGGGGAGGAGAATTGGAGGATTTGAATCTGGAAATTGAAGGAGAAAGATGAATCTCAAGAATGTGAATGGGGATTTGATTTGGAATTGGGTTTCAGAATCTGTGTCTCCCTCCCTCCTCCAAAAATCTTCTTCCCCCCACCTTGGATTCAAAGTTTCTTTCAACCCAGACGGGAACACCAACGAGACCCTCCTCCCCCACCTCTGTGCTTCCCTCTTTTTCAATCCACCACCTCCATTTCTTTTTTTCGTTTTTCCTAATTTTAAATTTACCAACAAATTTACCAATAATCATTGCATTTCAGAAAAATAATTCCATTGGATAATAAGTCAAATTAATGACTCATTTTCCAATACCATCAAAATTAATTAATTTTAAATCTTAATTTAGAGTGTACTTCAAGGTATAATCTTTGTAGTTGGATTTGGAGGGTTATTTATAACTCTCTTTTATCATATGGAAATCTTGTTTATATTTTAGATGCAATTGCTCAAATTAAAGGTTCGGCATGAGATTGTTGTTGGGCGGCATAGAAGAGAGTTTATTGAGGTCCGAAATTGAACACATCATATCCACAAAGTCGATGAACCATACTTTAGAATCTCGATTGAACTCCAACTTTATATGCAATGAAATCGCGCTCGACCGATCATCCATCTCATGTCGCAAATCTCGAGGCCGTGCTAAGTGGCTGGTGAGTGAAACCAACCTATCAATGCTTATAATGTAGAGATGCTCTAATTGTAGAGGCCTTTAAACACTTCAGTAATTCAACCCCTTGAAATTCTTAAGGTAACCAGAATTCTCCAAAAACAATTGTACAAATTTTTCATAGTTGTAATTTTTGCATTTTTTCAATAACACAGAGAACGTATTTTCTATTTGTTCACATTATAACAAAGTTAGAACCTAAAGGTTGCTGTTTGCCTCCAAGTTAAAGTTTTTAGGACATAAAACTTCCTTATTCTAAGCTAGAGTTTATTAATATTACGAGTTACATTAATTGAGTTTACTAATTCACGAACTTGCTTGTTTACACGTTTTATTTGGCTCAACTATCAATATACTGTAAAGTGTAAACAGTCATTTTCATCACTTTTTTCTTGATACAAATTTAACACCCATGTTTAATTTCTGTAATATCTTCTTTCTAGTAATATAAAAATTCAGCTAAGAGGTGAAGAGGGTATGAACTCAGATGAAAGTGGAAGCTGCTGCAAAACTGGTGGCTCAGTGGGTTCTCTCTCAGAACTGATAGAACTTGTTAGTGGACCATCAATGGAAGGCTTTATGACTGTATAAAACAGCACATTGTAGAGAATGGAGAAGATGAAGAGAAAAACAGCTGAATTTGCTAAAAGGGATCCTGAAATCTCTGACATTTCTCCTCTGATTTGATTTCTTGGAAGCTTCATGTCCTGAGCTGCACAAGTTTTTGCAAACCACATGCGTATGTTAGAAACACTCCCACAACCCAGCATTTCATATTCTTGATTCTCACAACAGAAGCAGATCATGGTATTTTCAGGGCATCTGGGAAGAAAAGAGAAACTAGCTACTAATTTTTATTGCCGCAGAATTTTGGTCCAAAAGCAAGAGCTTCCACAAACTACAAATACACCACACTAATGTTCTCTCGATATTGCCCTTGCTTCGAATCAATTCAATCAACTCTTCAACCAAAGTTTCGAAACATCAAATTTTACTTAGAATTAGGAGTCTAATCCATATCGATATCGTCCCTCATCGAGTCAGTTCAATCAACTCTTCAACCAAAGTTGAGCAGCAACAAATTTGACTTGGAATTAGTATTGAAAAGAGGGGGGGTACCTTTCATCTTGGGAGGAGTGACTTGTTTTTTGGAGAAAGATTGAAGCTGCTGATCAAGCTCTTGAAGGGCTTGCCTGGCCTTATCTGGGTCCATCTCAAATTGCTGTGAATCTCTCTCCCTTGCACACACAATGCAACTGCGAGCAGCAGAAGAAGGAAATGGGTGACCATTCCTTCTCCTCAAAACACCATAGCATTTCTTGGTGGCTGACAATGGCGGAGATGAGAGTGGCCACTGGTTCTGATTGAAGAGAGAGTGAAGAGAAAGCATCTGAGTGCTGCTAATTAACCACAGTCGCAAAAGCGGATGCCCTTCAGGATAGTCTTATGTCATTTCCCCGAAGCCACAAGAATCTGAAGCGGCTCTCTGCGTGATCCTAAAGATGAGACCGGAGTGTTTGGCAACAAGTATTAGCAGGATCTTGTCCAGAATATGGCTGTCCTCACTCCCGCCAGAGATAATATTACTCCATCTTAAATATCTGACAAGATTAGACAAGAGAAGTGAGAAGAACATTCCTTAAAAAAATAACGGCTTGTTTGGAAGCTATTTCTTAAAATATATATATATATATATATATATATCAAGTACGTACGAATAATTGCTTTTCCTCTTAAAAGGTATTCAGCATTCCACAGAATCAAAAGAGAATTCAAAAGTAACTTGGGGAATGACAAGCGAGAACCCGCTGTGTTTGACTTTACTTTCTGAACAGCAAACAGCTTGAGTTGAATTCATTTCGTTCGCATTTTTCAAAGTGAAATCAGTGTTCTTTCACTTTCATTTCCACAAGTGGAAATACACAGCTTCAAGTTTTAATCAAGCATACATGAAACCTGCAATCCAGAAAGCACATCAGATCTAAGTTCCTCCCACAAATCGGAATCACCTGAAATGGTTTAAAACACGACCAACTCGGGATCCTCTCAAGGTGTTCAAATAATCAGTTTTCAGGCATAGTTCATTTTTCCAGTCTTTCCAGAAAAGGCTGAAATCAGGATTCATACAATAGCAAAGAATCATGTTTGGAACCTGAAAGGCTTGACAGTTCGCAAACTTTGCAACTAAATCAAGAATCACAATTCAAGCTTTGACACACTCACAAGTACACAACAGTTGAACATTTGATCTAGAAAGGTGGTTTGGAAAATAAAATAAAACAGCGTCTGAAATCTATGGAGTGTTCTATACACAAGTTAAAAATGGGGGAGGTTGATGAAATAAAGCATCCAAGGACTTAACTAGAACTAGGGTCCAAATGGCCAACTTAGATCATCCCATCTCCTTTGGGAACATGCACCAGAACAAAGCCAAGAATGATTTGCCGCCTAGCAGAGGACTGCCAGGGAATGTAGCCCCACAGATATAACCAAGGGGTACCCCATATTTTCAGTACGTTCACTTAATGGCAAGACGCCTCTGTGCCGCCTGATTTTCTGAGATACTTCCTCGTTGCTGTCCCGAACAGTCTCCATCTTCACCTCTCTCGCCAGTACGTAAAGCATATGATGAAGCTTGGAAGCTACTGTAGTTTTGAAAATGGCTACTGCCATTTACATAAGTACGAGCTTCATATGTCTCATGCAACTGCGTCCTTGCTTCTTGTTGACCATTGGAGGAATTCCAGGTTTCAGCCAAGACACGAGGCACAGCTTCAGAACCAGATGAACTAGCTGAGTGCGATGAGATAGCTTGACCAGATCCACATTCCTTATCCTTCATAGTAGAGCACGAAGAATTAACTTCACTCTTCTTGGCAAAACGTCCTCCACTACCCCTTGCCCTTCTCATGGCATGCTGGTGACGAGACTCATGAAGATATGGCTGTTAAACATTGAACACAAGCTAAATATTAGAGATACTTCAGAAAAATTTACCTGCATTAGTTTCTGACGTGAAAAAGAAGAGGTGGGGGTGAACAATCATCACTCATCAAACATACAGAACCAACAACGAAATGGCATTTGATTTTTTAAATCAAACCCTGGCCCATATAAGCTAGCCAAGCCTTGTGTCTCAAAGGGTAATGAATTAACTATGCAGAACAATATACAAGAAGAAGAAATCCGGAAATTTTGAAAGACAAATTTTGACTCATCTTTATATCAGTCTTTTATGGTCTTGAGACAATGACTTGGTAATTCATATACGTGTTTGTACTAACAACATTCATTTTAGCGCTCAAGGATCCCTAGAGTAAGTTAAGCTTGTAAACTTGGGTTTCTTCCCACTTGCACTGAATCTGATTATTAGATAGTAGCTGGAATATAATCTATATGCCATTAGCAATATCCTAAACATCCAAGATAAGAAGTCGAATAGGAAAATAAAGTTATGTTCCCAGGAAAAATAACCAATGATAAAAAGCTTATACCTATTTCTTAACAAAGCCTATGTGAGTACATCCACTTCACTGTCCAGCACGACAAAATAATTTTTCAGTAGCCCTTAACACACATGTAAGGGTTCGAACAGTTTGAGTAAAAACTTCTCAGTAAGAGAATTTAAAAGTACTCAATCAAATTTGCAGTATACATGAAGAATGAACTTCATTAAAAATAAAATACAATTAATAATGATGTTGGTAGCTTGTGAGTACAATGAACAAGAGAGCCAAATACCCAGCCACATTAACATCGATAAGAGCCAAGCTGTAGTACATGACAGACAATTACTCGAATAGCAGTTGTACCTTTCTAACTTTTATCAGTTTATTCTCGACCTCTGCTTTAGCACGTGCTTGTCTTCGCCTTAGAATCCCTTGGTATTGTTTGGCATTCACAAAAACTGGCTCCTGTGTCACCTCAAGGGGCAGAGCCATTCTAGCATGTGGCATCCCAAGAAAAGGAGGATAACCCTGCAATTAGAAGTACTTGTCAGGTGCCAACATCAACTCTTACTTATCAGGAAAAATTGATAACATTCCACAATGATCTCAGATATCCTTTACATAGACGATAGACCTTTTCATTGTGGCCAAGAAATATATTTACAGGCAAGGATAATACAATAATCATGCTACAGCCTCTTCCAAGAAACTGGAAAATTTCAGTTAGTTCACCAGATATTTGCACGCTATTCTACTAAGATGGTTTGAGAAAGTGAAAATCTGGACAAGAAACAATCATGAAGTTCCTGACTAATTGAAAAGGCAAAGAAAAAGAAAAAATAAAAGTACACATCCAGGTTACCAGGGCTAAAATATATACCTTAAAAATTTGTGATTATGGTGCAAAAGTTACCAGAAAAATATATATGTATACAAATTGTCACCTTATCTTTTATGATTTTAACCTGTACTACATACCAAAGGTTGATGCCCATAGGCAGTCATCAGTCCTGGATAATAAGGATCTTGATATGGATTTGATGCACACGCCTGCAAAAAATAACAAATACTAGTAATCCCACTAAATTCAGAAATATCTTAAATCGGATGAAAATCCAATGTTATTCAATATTAAAAAACTGGACTCTAAGAGTCAGCAAGTATACTATCAAGATGTCTCTACAGTAAGAAAGAAATCAACCAGACTATAGCAAAAAAAAAAAAAAAAAAACTCACTATATTGTGGCCTACAAGTTCCAGCTGAGGAGGTTGTGTGATACATCCACCATGCACTGTAGGTGCAGTTGAAACAGCACGCTGGGTGTTGTGCTGTTCTTGCCCATAACTTGCAGCTGAGTTTGATAATAACATGTTTGTTATTTGTTAACAATCCAATAAGCTAATATTGTCCTCAACTTCCAAGATAATGTATAATATTTTCAGCTCATAACTAAAAAGGCTAAAAACACCAAGTGCCTTGCTTAGAGCTATAATAAGATTCACAAGCAAACATGTCTACATTATTGTTGAAGGCCATACCTTGTGAGTCTTTTGTGTTATCATCATCGTCTTCTTCATTCAAATCATCATTTGACATCGACTGACCCTCATTAGATTCGGAAGCACCATTAGTGCATTCCAGTGATGTTGAATTGGACACATTTCCTCCTGCTGCTGGCGGGGAGATAGGATTGTACCCAATACTGCGCCACCAAGGTTCAGAATAACTACCAGTCTGCTGCATATTTGGTGGTTCAGATTCTAGTTGATTCACACTTTTAGATTTTGAATGCATACCTTCTGGACAATGATGCCTGTCAGATACCATAAAAGAATGGAGTCGACTAGAATAAACAGATCATGCATGCAGAACCAGTGTTTGATAAACAGGGGAACCACTCCCCCTATGAGAAAAGCAGTAAAATAAGAAATTAAAGGGGGAAAAAAAAAAAAAGTGAAGCATCATTCTTAAGATTAAAAAAACCTTGGAGATCTTCCAGTCCATTTTTCTTTTCTGAAGAGAAAAGGGAAATAGTTTCACTCCTCCTATGGTTTAAAATAGCACGTTGCAAGAGAAGGAAACTAAAAAAAGAACATTCAATAGCCAGCTTGGCTTACAGCTTAAATTTTATGGTCCCAAATGAGGGAGAAAATATTTTTCTGTAAGATTGGAGAGTGGCTTGGTATTTAAGAGGCTGGGGAGGAAACATAGGGAAAGGCCAGGACCAGAAGATAATCACCAAGAAAAACTTAACCTCAAGCAGCAGCAACAGCCATTCTTAACAATTAACTATGCTTCTTATTTCCTTTCAATAATGATTATCTAGTTCTTTCCCAGAGCATATACAACTATATCCAATCCTTGTGTAGAGAATTGCTCATCATTCGCTTGAATGAGGCTCATCACCTAAAGAAAGTAAAATTCTCTACACCTTTACATCATTCGCTTCCAAGCTGAGCTGGTTATCTATCATTAACTGGGTTCCATGATTTGGAAGACAGAAACCAAATAAGTATCTAACTTGTGCTTGCCAGAACTTGGAATTGCGAATGCTTTACTGATAGCAGCTAAATCACAACTTGAAACTCCTAGGTTTTCAAATTTGAAGAGATACAAGTATAAAATGTCGAACAAACTCCAAAAATTCAAGCCAAGATCATCTTTAATCTTTAATTCAAAATATAAACCAATTCCTGTAATGTTGAGTGGAAATCAATTTATTTCCATGCACAAGTTTCAAAGTACTTGTTTAATCTACTTCCACCGTCATATCTTATTTTGGAGCTCAATTATTTCCGTGCTAGACTAGAAATTATTAACAGGTGACCTTCTTTTATCACTCTTTCAACCACAACTCGGAAGTATAAAAAATGAGAAGGGAGTAAGTTGCAGGATAATATTGATGAATCCTCCAAAACGCCCCAGCCTCAAATATCATATCAAAATTTAGAGCCTCGTATTAAAATCTTCTCTTCTCTCTAAATCAGCTCTTCTTGCCATTTCAGTTGAGATGCAAATGACCCACATGCAAGGGCAGTGGTTACAAAAAGGGTTCGATAAAAGACGTTCAGTTGGATATTTTGGCTCGTTTTTAAGCCGACAACATTCGAACCTAATTCGCACGAGAAGTCAATTAAAATTAGAAAACATAAAAACAACTGCCAGGATTGCGCCGCAAGTTGATTCAATCAATCTAAAATTGGCAATTAAGAGGTGCGCAAACCAGAATCCCCACATGCAATGAACAAAGAGAAACCGAAGCCCAAAAAACCGGGAGACTGTATAAAAATTCGAAGAGGCAGAACAAAGCACGACGACTTCAGTTCAATTCTAAAAAACTGAGCAAAAATCGCCGAACTCATGACTTCTAAATTCCCGTCGAGATCTCAATTCCACTCGCACTCCATTCCCTAAGCAAAGAAAACGCACACAGTGAAATTTTCCACTCTAGTGGTCCAAATCCTAGTCGCATGAATCCAGAAACCCAAGCCGGCGCGATTCCATGCAACGAGAAGTCAAGAACAATACTCGAACAAAATAAAAACAAAACAAAAAGGGAAGAAAGATAACTGAATTGAGAAAAGCCTAGAGTAATAACAGATACGAGAGAAGAGAGGAGATAGAAGACAGAAGGTAGAAGAGAAGAAGAATCTTGCAAGAATCGAGTCAGGGGAAAGAGGAACTCACTCACTTGCAAAGAAAATTCTGGAAATTCGAAGCCCTAGATTCAGGAACAGATGGTTCGGAATCTGGGAAGAAAAATTCAACAGTCAATTCAGTTCTTGTGCGATTCTAAGACTTGGGTCTGTTATTACAGAGACGAACAAAGACCTTCGGCAACTCAAATTCAAGAGCTACGGCTACTGTTCCCTCACCCACTGCGGGACCCGATTTCAGTTCCAGCTACTCTTCCACCGGCAACCTCCCCCTCCGGTTTGGGAGTATTCGCCTCGGAAGCTAGCGGCTTTCCAAAAGGTGAACCGGCTACAGCAGGTTCCCAGTTGGGCGTGGGTCATTAATTTGTCAGACTCACGGCCGGGTGAGGCTATCATAATTCCTTTTTCAGGATAAAAAGCGAAAAATGGGATAATATAATTTGACCCACGTGACACGCACTTGACGAGCAAAGTCCGGGAAACGCTTGGCGCATAAGTGGGACCACAGCTTTAAAGCAGCGACAGCAGCGCATGCCACGTCTCCCAGCTCCAAAAGTAGTTACTGATCTCTACAAATCTCTTATATCACCCCCGGGTCATCGTATCAGTATAAGCTTCCCACCAGGCTACGTGACGCACCACCCAATTCTTAAATAACATATTTTATCATTTATATTATACCTTTCATTTCTTTTATTTTTTTTGTTATTTGATCCTACGGTATATTTAGTTTGTTTTAATTTGAATATCAGAAGAATGAAGATATAAATTTTTTCAAATAAATTTTTTATCCATCAATATTTTGTTTATGTTTTAATAAGATATATTGATATTTTAAATGTATTGTTTTTCATTTTGATACATAATATGGTTTAAAATGTTTTCAACTACAACGACGCATAAGCAACTCTTATAAAAATAATGTATAATTAAACCATACAACAGTGTCATATATGGTGGAGTGGGGAAAAAATAATTATGGCTTGTACTAAAAATGATTGTTGATAATTGAGTCTAGGACATGTGGCATCATGTAAGTGGCTCAACTCTCAAGTTTATTGGGATTTAGATAAGCATGCAATGGTACTTTAAGTCTTGAGTGGGTGGTACCAAGCCCTCAAAGGCTTCCAAGAATAATCATGCCTAATTATTTGGAGTAGTCCAAAGGCCAACATAGAGTTATATTTGATTAATATTATTGTTTTTTATCACAAGATAATCAATATGGTTATTTAAATCATCAAACCATGTACTAATGTAGCTTATATTAAACGTATATTGGTGCTTGTGAAGGTCGCAATTGGGTTGGGTTTACTTCTCCGTGATACCCATGGAATTATTCTCGCGACGGGTTCAATTTTCCTCCCAACTGATTTGCCTCTCACTTTGTTGAAATTAGTGTCTTTCTAGAAAGTCTTCGTTTAGCTTGTGCTCTTAATTGTGGCTATCTTCATGTTAACTCTGATTGTCTGGTTGCAATTCACCTCATTTGCGGAGAGACTTCAACCCTAGGTGACGAGATTAATTAGTTACATGATATCATAGTCTTTTGTCATGCTCCTTCAACTCGATTTCTTTCAATAATTTTTACAGAGAATGTAACCGGTCAGCTGATGCCTTTGTCAAATTTGACTATGAGTAAGAATAACTTTTTGAGATTCTAATTTTCCAATTTGGATTCTGTTGGAGGTGATACCATCTTCCTTCAATACGTAGCCAAGTGGCATTTTCACCTCAAAGTCCTCTTTCCCTACAAAAAAGAAAAAGAAAAAAAGAACTACTGTAACTTAACTAGTACCAAACTACAATAGGAGAAATCTTGATTTAAAATTTATTTAAGATACAAATTTATGATCTGAATTTATAGTCTAAAAGGCCAGGTTTAATTCAGTTGGATGGTAAGATATAAAAAAAATCTTAATAGGTGGCCGAAAATAAAATAAATCCGTAAATTTAATAAATATTTATCATAAATGGAATAGGCCGCGAAGAAAGAGATATGGGCCGTGCCGGATATTGGGCTAGGCCCACCATGAATTAATGGCTATTATACTTTTGCAAGGCCTGGATGTCCATGCCTATGTTTTTGGCAGTTTATACTTTGATACTGAGGAAATTTCTTTTTCTTCTTAAAAAGAAAAGAAAAAAAAAAGGAAGAAAAAGCACCTTAATTTGAATGTGGAAATAAAGGAAGAAAGTTGGAGAGACCAAATAAAGAAATCTCGAGTCAAAACAAGGATGAAGAGTCTATTTAAGTCTATTTATTTACAACTACTACATTTTCGTCATTCACTAATAGAGTTTCTTTTTTTTTAAATTTAACAACATATGACGATTTGTACATGAATATTCCATCTTTTTTAATTGAGGATATATGCTTTTTTAATAAGCTATGCTTAAATTGGCTGTTAATAGACTTGTTATGGTATGTAATAAACTCTATTAAGAATATAAATAAAATATTCAATCTAAAAGGCACGTATCTCCGTCTAGAAGGTCATAACTTCGAATCTTCAATTCACTCCTATATTTTGTACTAAAAGAAGAATATGAATAAAATAGTAAATACACCCTAACATATCCACTTAACTTGTGAATCTAGTTAGTAATTTTAACATATTATTAGAGAAAGAAGTAGTTTATTTGAGTTATTGTAACATCATTTCTTCCATTAGTTTAATTTTTTAGTTTCAATAGTAATTTAACCATTGTCCCAAATACGGTAGGAAAAAAAAAACAGTTGGATTGAAAAATAATAAATTAAAGGTTAAAATTATCACAGGTTGACCTAAGAATGGTACTTAATAGATCATTGGCCTTTAAAAAATATTGAACGGGTCTCTAGCCTATTCTAGAATATTTAAAATTCATGAAGATGTATTTAATAGGTCACTGAACTATAAAAAAGTGTCTAACTAGTCTCTAACCTATTTTACATTATTTAAAATTCACAAACTTGTATCTAATAAGTCCGTGAACTATAAAAAAGGGTCGAAGAGTTCTCTAACCTATTTTTTACATTATTTAAAATTTATTGACTTATTAGACACAAAATAAAAAGTTAATGAGCTTATTCAATACAAAATTTAAAGTTAATCCAAGATTTAGACACTGATCTTGTAATTTAACGTGAATGAAGCGTATTAAAATGAGAGCAAGAAAGTGGGATGTAAGAAAAAATGAATTTAGATGGTCAAAAGGAAAAGGAAGGGAAAGCAAATTGCAAATTGAATTTGGGGGTGCAAGGGAATCCAATTGATTATTGATCCATTCATCCATCAGAATCAAAAGGTTTGGGGAGCAAAGAGTTGGCCTCTCCCATATTGCTTTGCTTTCTGCAAAGCCTCCAAGCAAAGTTTAGACAAAAAGCTGGCACAGATTTTTCTACATTACCCAAAAGCTGCCACTCATGTTTCTAAACACCCTTCACTTCATTCACACCTTTTTTCTCTCTCTCTCTCAAATCATTCTAAGAATTATTCGATTGGTCGAGTTATCTAACATTATCATTTTATTAAGAATGGAAGTGTAATTCAATCAGGTTGTATCAATATTTATGGAGTCGGGTCTCAAAACCAATTGACGTTTAGAGGTTTAATGTTCTTAAGATCGTAGTTCTTTTGACTCATCTATCTCGACCAAATCCTATTTTTGGATCGGATACTCGTTTCAGCTTTTGGACTCTGACACCGTATCGATATTCATTGGATCCCATCACAAAACTAATTGGTTAGAGAAAGAGTAGTTCATCTATATTATAAACCTTTATCAGGTTCTTATTTTTTAAATGTGGGATCTTTAACCATGTATTAATTTTACATTTGAGTTTTGATAATTAAGGGATGATCTGGATATTTCTTTTCCATTTTTTAATAGTGCCGGAGACTGGACTTTGAGAAATTTTTTTAATAATGWTTTTAGTTTTAAAACTTATTTTGACAAGTGTTTTTTATTTTTTTTCACCTTATTTACTATTCTACCTTAATATGTTTAAATCAAGTTATACTTTAAAAATACATAAAGATTGGTTATATGTGAAAAATGTAATGTAGAAAATATAAAAAAGCAAATGAAAAAAAAAAAAACTATTTAGTATAGTTTTTATTGTAGTTATTTTGACTCGTAAAAGGAAAAGAAGAGCTTAGATTTCTTTATTTGAAAAATAACCCTTTGGAACAACCTCGGATTCCTCAAAAGTTCCGATATGATTTTATGTTTTATAAACTGATTAGATTGGTTAATAAGACTATTTTGAAACATGCATAAAGTTCTTGCTTCATCACAAAATTTCATCCTAGAAAAAACAAAAAAACCATTTATTCACTTGATAAGATTCCCTTGTTACAAGATAGGTTTGTTTGGGCTAGAAATTATATGATTTTTATTTTATTTTTGTTTTTAATTTAAAATTAGGTAAATCTTCATATAAATTGTTTTCAATCTTAATTATTAATTATTCATAAATTGTTTTTACATATCTTTTAGTTTTATTCATGTATACGTGTGATAAACAATTTTTTAAAGCAGAATTTTAGGTGACGAAACAAGATAAGGTTTTTGTTAAATAGTTATGGAAAATATACTTGTCAATTATTGAAATATTTTTTAATATAAAGTTTAAAATCCACTGAACGATAATTTTTAAGTCTAAAACACCGAAACAAAAAGAAGAAAATTCAAATGAAAAATAAATTTAAACCCTTACCACATTTAATATTGCAAGACAAACGCCAAAATTAAATCACTAATTTTCTATATTTCCCCTTTAACCTTATTATAGAGGCTATAATATATAAATGATATTCCGAGTTCTTCCATTATCCACTTAGTTTTATAATTAAACTAGGTTATTTGTTAGATATATATTTAAAGTTAATATAGTATGAAATAAGATGTTCATAAATAATATAATAACCAAATAAAATTAATTCTATTAAAATAAAACAAAAATATATTAAAAATATGAAAAATGTATTAAGCTACCAACTATTTATAAACCATAGGTGTTGGCTTTTGGAAATGATGGTATGATTAAAGAAAGAGTTGGGATGGCCGGCTTGGATTAATTCGACTCTCTAATCTAATTATAATGTCTCCATTAATATTAATCAACTATTGCAAGAACATCCATAGTTTCAACTAAAACTCATAATTTGTTCAACTTATTGGTTAATTATTGTTTAATCTATATATCTTATCCTTATTTTAATTATTTTGTATCATATAATATATATTTATTTCAATAGACTTTGGTAGGTTAAATAAAAACATTTCCCAATGCAATCACATGTGCATATATTCTTAGGAGGTTTGAGAAATAAAATAACTTTGGGATATAATTGGTTTTTAGTAATGATTCATTTGTTAATTAATTAACAATAATATTTTTGTATGGTTAATTTCCATAGGTCCCTATAGCAAGCTGGACATTTGTCTTTCCTATAAAAATATTTGTATATATCACTCACATGCTTCATTAACTCATTTCAAAATTTTATCCTGTTTGACTTATTTTTGTAGGTATTAGATAAATAAAATGTCGAATACTTTATAAAGTAAACAAAAAGACACGTATGTTAGAAGTAAGGAAAGATCACAAATTTGTATTTATATTTTTTCTTTTTTGCCAACCTGATCCTGAGTTCGAATTTCCCAATTCCTACGTATTAAAAAAAGCAACTACCACAGGACTTGTTTTAATTAGTTTTTGTTATCCTTTTTTGGCATTTATTTTTAATTTTTTTTTCAATGTAGAGATGTTGCCGTGAAAAGAATAGAATGTGCTCTGTTTCGATTTTAGGGGTGAAGTGTCTCTTTTCTTCTCGATGAAAATGAATATGATAACGTGCAAATCCAGCCCTACCCAAATGATAATTGGTATCAAAAGAAAAGCATAAAAGAGTGGAAATAAAAGAAAGGGTATATGTTATTATTTTTGTTTAATGAAAAAGGAGAAAACACATCATTTTAAAGAGCTCTTATTATTCATCATAAAACCAAAACTGTCCTTTTCCCCACATTTTAAAATTCCCTAAAGCTCCAACAGATTTGATATATTCAAAGCCAATCTCTCACTCTCTCTATTCTAATATGTTTTGAGATTCTAAAAGATTGTGCCAAAAACACATGTGGGGCTTCCATAATTTCACCAATTTTCTTTTTTTTTTTCTTTTCTTTTGGGAATAAATATGGAAAAAGGGAAATTTGAAAAGAGAAAAAAAAAATGATGAGATTCCATTTGGTAACATTATTTTAGAGACAGTGATTCGGAAGCCGCACGAGTTTGATTCATTGGATTCTCTTACATTGTTTGGAATTTGGATGAGGTTTTGTTTCAACTTCAGACAAAGTGAATATGTAAATAATAATAACTCTTTCCATTTTTAATTTTTATTTTTTATCTTTTGTCTTTTTTTAAACGTCCCCTTATTCATTATTCCCTTTTAATCACTACTATAATACTTTCAATTATTAATCTGCGTTCATCATTCTCTCGTTATTTATTTTAAGTTACTAATTAATCATATTGGTTTGCTTTAACATGTGGTTTGAATTACTTTATTAAACAAATATTTGCTTTTTATTTTCTCAATATATATGTGTGTTTTTTATTCCTCAATTTATGGTCAACAATTTTCAACGTATGTAGTTTAGGAAATTTTAACAAGTATAATTTAACTTACAATTATTTAGGAAAATTTTGAGGTCAATTTTTAGTGTTTTTTGGCTGGTAAACTTTATATACTAAAAAAACCTTTTCATTTGGATGATTATACTTGTGGATAAAATGATATATTTTGCACAAAATAATACAAAATGCCACTCTATATTAATTACTAATTTCTTGGTAAATTTTTATAGTATAATCATAAATAAGTTTTATCCGTTTTATTCTCTCTACTTCTAAAATATCTATTTCAATCTAGGTTTTTTATTTTTTTTTATTTCTAAAATTTTTAAATATATATTTTAGATCCAAGACTTTTTTAAAAAAATTATTCTTATGTTTTGATTTTGATAAACGGATAACATGCCTTCAAAAAATATGTATTAATATGTTGATTCTAACGTGTACTTGACCACGTAAATCTACTTGAGACGAGTATTAAATATATAAATGTATTAAATAATAATAGACTAAAATATAAATACGGATAAATTTGAGTGTTTACTAGTAAATAG